TGGAGATGCTTTTAACTGGCGACGAGCACCTGGCGCTCTGAGTCAGCCTCACTCGGTGCTTGGCTCTCAATGGGGAAAGGGAACATTTGCCATTTCATTTCACAGGCTAACACAGTTTAGAATCACACACAGTTCCCCCGCCCATGTTGTGAAACTACCTTTAACATTTTAAAAATTGTGATAAAATACACATACAGTTTATCATCTTAACCATTTTAGGTAAAATATGCACAACATAAAACTTACTGAATCAGCTTTTGAATCATTTTAAGTGAATTGAATTACTTTTTGAGCCCATGGTCTACCCTTTGGGGTTTTTATGGTGTTTCTCCCACGACCGTTCTGGACCGGCTACGAGTCCCAGAGAGGGTCAGACTGTGTCACAGTAAATCAACATGACAGACGCTATCTGGGTGGAGCCAGTAAGACACTTCCTGGTCTCTGTTAATGAAGCTCGGGTGTGGGTCAAGCCTATTTTTTCAAACTTTTATTTTGTGTTTTATTATTTTGTTTTGCTGAGCCCATGAATCCGGTGAGGTTATAAATATTGCAATTATGCCTTAACGATAGCTCAAGTAATACTTTTAAACTAGTCTAGTCCATGAGCGAAAGAAACAAGGAAGTTTAATTTCCTGTTTAATTATAGTTTCTCCTTTCTGTTTAGATGTTTAAAAAGTGATTTTGGAAACATGACCCTTTTTTCCTTCCCAATTAATTTGTTTTCCTGAGATATTTATTCTATAGTTGTAGAAGAACATGTCTCAAAAAATGTTTTTAATATGCATCATTTTTCAGTGACCAGTCACTTTGGGTTTTTGGTTTCCTGAAAAACACAACCCAAACAATGGAACTTCCCCCAACAATGGAACCATGCTCTACGCCAGAGGTCCTCAAACTTTTTAAACAGGGGGCCAGTTCACTGTCCCTCAGACATTCCACACATGCGCACTGCGGGCCCGGGACGAGTCGGCTGCTAAGCAGGACAGGCAGCGGCGGCAAAAACACCCGGCGGGCCCGATAAATGTTTTCGGCGGGCCGCATGTGGCCCTCGGGCCGTAGTTTGAGGACCCCTGCTCTACGCCTTTCTCCATGGAGAGGGTCCTCCCAGCAATGTGAGGGGACAGAGCCTGGAAGGAGAAAGGCAGGGTCAGGGCTGCAACAGCTGGAGGGGGGAGAGGGAACCTCTGCAACAGCTGGAGGGGGGAGAGGGAACCTCTACAACAGCTGGAGGGGGGAGAGGGAACCTCTGCAACAGCTGGAGGGGGGAGAGGGAACCTTTGCAACAACTGGGGGGGAGAGAGGGAACCTTTGCAACAGCTGGAGGGGAGAGGGAACCGCTGCAACAGCTGGAGGGGGGAGAGGGAACTG